TCATTTTTCATTTTCCCATCAGTGGTCAGCATGTGACCTTTGAGGCAGAGGCTCTATCTCAGTTACAGCCAATCAGTGTCGAGCTTATGTCGGCAGAAGATGGCGACAAAATGATCGAGGAGAGAGGAGGTAGAATGGGTGTTGGTAGTGGGTACGCGAGCGCCTTTTTAGCTGTGAACCCACACTCGTTAGAGACGAACAAAAAGTTCAAAATCGGAATGAAGATTGATTCCAGTGCAGCGTCTAAAGTGCAGTTTTATCGTTCCTCCGACGATATGGATCTAAAAACTTGGTACAAAGTGGACTCTACCATTTCAGACGACTTTGCCACAGTAGAGACAGATAAAGGTAATACGTTTATTAATTCGCCTATTCATTGTTCGCCCAATATCTAGGATGAATCTAGTAAGTCATCACAAGTTATGCTAATGAGAACGCTTCAATGACTTCACAACGCGTCTTGTTGGAAACTGTACGATACGTTAATTATTCTTAATTTGATTGACATTTATAAGTGATTTCGCTTATATTTACATAACCAAACAAACATGTATGCGGCACGTGTTTTATCGCCCTATATATGGTATTGTTCCTACGTGCTTACTACGGGACGTTTATGTGTGTTCTTTTCGAATGAGCTGGGAGTTGTGAGTGGGAGTTAACCGAAGCGTTGTAATGGAATCGTTAAATCAAGTGAATAAACCGTGACATAATAAGGAAGCGTGGTACAGCTTTTTCACCTTTTCGAAAGTCCCTTCCAGCTACTGTATAAGTATGCGTTTCCTTGTAAAAGAAATGCCAAAACATTGGCGATTGCCTTATAGGCACTTCCAAATGCTGCTTATCAGAACGCTTTTCGACCAATTGTGATGAAGCCAGTGCTAAAGTTATAGCGACGACCAATCATAAAAAAGAAAATATCAAAAGAAGCCAATAAAAAACTCCATGTAAAAACTAAGAAAACGACTGTAAAAGCGCGGGAAAACGTGAGAGGTAAAAACGCGGGAAAGCGTGAGAGGTCAAGTCGCGATTAAACTTAGCCAGCAATGCATTTTATTGGTCGAGAGCATGGCGCAAGTTTTGCTGACCAATCACAGACCATAGTAAGACAAAACCAATTCCAGTCCCACTCTCTTATAATCTAGATAACGAAAACTTGCTATTTTGAGTAACCTCTTGTTTAATTTTTTTTCTAGGCGGAATCTACGTGGCACGAACCGTGCCTGACAAAGCCGCTATAGCCGGGATAGTGATCATGTGTCTTGTTATCGTGATTGCGATTGGTGGATCAGTATTTTACTTCAGACGTCACCCAGACAAATGGCAGAATCTTAAGACATCTGTGGTGAATGGATGCCGCTCGTGCAAAGGCAAAGTTTGATCAAATATGAGATTAGAAGAAGTTATTTAACGGGTTTTTGTTCCGTATGAAACTCAGGATTAACGTTGTCATTTGCAATCTGTGTAAATCTGCCATTCTTTTCCAACCTTGTTCTATTTGTGATGATCCCTATTTAGCTTGCGATCAGGCCCTCATTATCATCGGTGCAAGACGTGCGTTTCTCCGCCCGCGGGAAGACTTGAGACGAGTCGGGGAGAGGTCTGGTACTAATTATTAGTGTTAGACCCTGTGCACATCTCGTACTTTCCGCGAGCGAAGAAATACCTGTGCCGAAGCGCTAACAATGAGGACCTGCACTACGCCATGTTGTTTTTCTATCTGACCAAACTACTCTTTAATAGTTAACCTCTCGCTGAGTGAAGTTTTCTGCGCCTCTGAGTTGAAACGGTTCAAAATCTCGTTGCGTAGCTTCTTGGCAGACAAAGAAAGGAATAATGCAGTGTCTGAATGGAAAGTTTCGAATTCATTGTCTTAATTGTTACTGATAGAGTTTAGAAAAAGTATTTAATTGTTAAATGGTTTCCTGGAGAGTATATATCCGAATTGAAATATTGATATAAAGCACCTATAGTGATTTGGAGTCTTAAATTAAGTTTACACAACGGCCAACCAGAACCAGAAAGATTATCACAAACTTGTGAACAATGAGATTTGTAAACTTTTAGTTATCTTGAGACGAGGAGCTTTTGTGCACATGCGCTTGATATTTTGTCGCGCCTGCGCAAACTATGTTAGCCACGCTCTGTTCACGTGCAGCAGCATTGGCAGGCTCAAAAACAACAGAATTTCGTCAGTCATGCGCAATCATTTTAACGAGCTCCCTGGTTGTTATCAGTGGGTTATTATCGTATCATGCGAATGTGTGCAAAGGTTCTTTTCAGATTGAGAAAAATGTAAAGTTTATCACAGTTTCGTAGGTTCATGTGTTTGATCAGAACAGAGGTTCAAAGTTTTCTGTGTGAATACTTAAATTCAAAATTGCGATTGTCATACGATGTAAATATTAAATCAACAGATAAGTGTTGAGTAAATTTAATGTAATTTTGACGAAGATTAACTTTGTGGTCAGAATTGACGAGGTTGCTGGTTCAACCTCCCCAACCATGAGATTACAATTCCTTCATCGAATTTTTAGGATATTTTTTATGGATATTTTTTATGGATTTGACTTGGAGTGGTTTTTTGTTGTCATTTGTTACTGTCGTTTGAAATAAAATGATTGCATTTCTATAAAAACGGTGCTGTTTTATGGGGGAAGGAAAATGAGTGGATATTAGTTTGGAACCCGGTTCACATTGCCTCGGATGAATTTTAAAACGACTTTATTACTAGTAGGCTTTAAGACAGATAAGTTCTCCATATTGAAAACAGATCTTGAGGAGAACGCTCCCAAAATCGAAGAAATTTGAAGGCGCTGGCTTTGCCTTCAAGCATGGAGAGAAAGAATTTCCCAAACGGGGATTTTCGAGTTCGCGAAAGTAAATTCTCTTTTTGTATATCTCTGCTGGAATATTTATATCTCTTGATGGAGAAGAAATATATTCCTTTGGAAAACAGATTCCATGTCGTTGAGCGTCTGTTCAGTAATAGATCTCAGATGACATCAAAATATGGTAAGAACACGTTTTGACAACTGAGATATTATAGTGTAGAACCGCGGCAATATGAATCGATTTTATTTATTGATAGGAAAGCAAAATGTTCTTAATGGTGACGTCAACCATGCGTCTGGCCTCTAATAGATGATAAGGAAGAACCAATCAAAATGATGAGTGTATATTGCAGCATATGCGAATATGAAAGCGATCTTTGCAGTAATGAACACTACTTGAGCAGTTATAGTGAAAACAAGGCCTGAAAAAAATTCAGGCATGTACGGGGTTTGAATTTTATTATCTTTTTTTTGTTTGTTTTTTTTTTCAGGCCTTCGTTTCACTACTGCTCAAGTAGTGTTCATTACTACGAAGATCGCTTTCATATCACGTCTTTATCCGCAGTTCACATATATGATTTTCATATATTCACAGTCATTTCAGCTTATCATATAATTAATTACCTGCCCTGTATGTGACTTATATACGGCTTAAAACATTCGAAGCTCCGTTTTTACTGGCTCGGCTGAATCTATACATTGAATTAAAAATGGCTGGCCTTGCCGTCTTTGACAAAGTAGGTGGCTCATCGTTGTGAATCAGACCTTCAAAAAGAAAACATTTGAAGCTTCGCTAGGTGAGATCTATGTATTGAATAATGTATGCCTTGAGTGCTCGTGACCTAAAATAGGTACCTGCAGTAGAAATTAATTCCAATTGATTGTATATATGAGTACAACAACAGCGCGAGTCTCGTGTTAAATGCGACAATTTGAATAAAATAGAGCGCCTTTTGCACCGCACACACGTTTACTGTAGTTGTCAAAAGAGAGAGTATCAGGTTCTTCCAGCTCTGCTTCTCAAGACATAGGTAAGATATGAGTGCTTTTACCATAGCTTTTTAGTGTACTAAAAAGTCGTGTTGCCTTTTTAAATTTTTTTCCCACCGAGAGATTGCCAATGGCACGCATCACTGCATCGATGAGTCATATCATTGTAGGGCGCTGTACGTAGGTAGGGTACTGTTGTCTTCAAAGTGGCCCAACCTGCAGTGTGCTTGAAGTAAAGTTAGGATTTTAACATGGTAGAAAATTTCTTAAATCAAAGGTAAAGCGGCCCCGTCCCGTCCGCTGTTTCAGTTGAATTTGGTGTGTTTCGTCCCAAAGGTACCAGGATCTACTAATTTGAATAACTCTTTTGATTCAGTTGATCGCACACTTGGATCCCCGCTTGCTAATCTTTGGAAAACTTTGTCTTAACAGTTTTAACAGGACGTGGAGGATTCTAAATGCTATTTGAAATCATTCGGTCTGTTGAGAAACAATTGATCGCGTACCTTCCTAGTTAACAAGAACGAATTTTCTTGCGAAAATGATAATTTAATAAGCGAAGATTTTCTGTTCGTTGTTTACCTAAGGTACTTGCTTAATCGCCAATTGCCTTAAATTTTCATAATCAGTCATTTGCCCTTGTAAATCTTCAGTCCCTCTGAGTCTTCATTCATTAATTGTCCAAATGCGATTAAAACTCAAGTAAATAACCAGCACTCGACATTGTGATCAAGCTATTAAAATGGTAAAAAAAATTGAAGTACTTGGAATAAATAGAAGCTTATCAAAACCTGTGCAACTTATATAAACAGTAATGGACACAATATAGCCACCTTACAAACGCATCAGTTGAAAGTTCCTCACACCATGAAATTGTTTGTGTATTCAGTTTTTGTCTGTCCAGTACAAACTTACTATCAACTGTATCATAATTTCCGCAAATAAAAGTCTCTGTAGCCAAAGGGATTGAAAGCAGCACGTATTAGAATTTTCTGGTTCAGCGCGCCGATTCCAAACCATGACAAATATACGGCGCGCTTTTCTCAATTGGAGATGGTACTTCGCGGTTTACAGGGCAGAAATATTACGCGCGTGGAAAATTTTCGTTCTTTTCTCTAGCTTTAATCGTTTATTACTACACTTGTCTCTCTCCACATGCACACCACACACATAGCCTACTCTCATATTCACTTAAATCGATTGATCTTAAATTTTGAAAAGAGAGTCCCTTATTCTCTATTGATTTAAAGTTAAACTAACCTGCAAAAATGTTACAGAGGCTGAATCATTTCAAGTCTTAATATGTTTTCAGGAAGAAGGCGGAATGCTGTTCATTACTTATGGATTTGTGCTGTTTTCGGCAACTGTCGGGGAAGGAAGCGTCAAAGGTATTGCAGGTAGATGTCTCTGCTTCTCTCATAATGATCTAAAATTATTAATTTCCTATTTTACTAACTGAGCAACCAAAGGCCTTCAAGGTTTGTAACGTGTGCACTGAGGAATTTTTCATTAGTGAAGGAGTATGCCAATCCCAATTTCAGAGCTTCCTTGCTCGCCAGGCGAGAGTGTTCCTGAGTACCAGCCCGCATGAACGCGCTCGTGAATCATCGCAATTTTCAATGTAGAAGGCGATAATCTCGTTCATTTTCCAAATATGATTTGTGAAATGGCGTAATAACAAGAAAGAGTCCTGGGTAGAAAAGAATTTGAAAGAAAGGAGTCTCATAATTGAAATAACGTGAGCGTCTATCAATGAAAATAAGCTAGCAAGCTTTGATGCCGACAATTTGACTGATAAGACGAAACTGCAGCAACTATAGTACTTACGCGTTTGCGTTATATATTCGTGCAGGATTTTAAGCCTGTATCACTGACAGTTTGTCTGAGTTCCGTTTTGCTTTTCAGAAAAAGTGTTATTGACAGCTGTCTGTTATATCACTTCTAATTCCGCGCCCCCTCCCGGGACTGAAACACCAGTTAGAGGAGAAGTAATGATGACTCAACCGGTAAGGAGAACTGGTACCTAATGTCACGACACCGTTAACCAAGAGCCTTCGTTACCGTGACCAGTGGTCGACATTAAATACAGTACTGACCAATCTAAGGAAATTTCTTAAATTCAATGTTTATTTTCTTAGCTTGTTGTCCAATTAACGCTTAGGGATTTTATTTTCAGCCGCTATTTTAGTGGGAGGTCTTTTGCATGAGACTCAGCACTGATCAGATGGGACATTATAAGTAATGAGGGAGGAGGGGAGGGGAGGGAGGGGAGATCGATATCACCTAAAGCTATCAGAGCACAATTCTTACATGTTTCTTTTTGTTTGATGGTTCTCAAATTGTTCTTTGTCATTTTTGTTTCTTTTTTGCAGCCATTGGGAATGGGTCCCACAACCATACATATTCATATAAAAGGTCTTCCTCCCAACACAGTGCATGGATTTCACATCCATGAATACGGAGACACATTTTCAGACGGTACGTTTGCCTGGTCTAATACTAATAAAATCGTGACCAACGTCTTGATAGCATGCGGAACGAGCCTCGTCTTTCCACGTTTTTCAGACGAGCAGAGGCAAGCGCAGGGCGAACACGAGACAAACGCGAGGGGAACGCGAGGTGAGCGTGAAGGGCGAGTCATGCACCAAAGGAGAAGGAGAAGCGCTCCTTAACGTGTGAGTTCTCCTCACTCTTACCGAGCGATTGCCTTCTCTCGTAAGACAAGACAAAATAAAAAACAAACAAGCAAACACCTGTCCCAATCCTTGTCATGAAGACACTAAAAACAAAGGAAACTTCGACTAATCTTGTGATCTCATTTGGCTAAATTTGTTCGATCAAGGTAGCTGGATGATAGCTTCGTTCTGTTTTTGCGTTTTTATGGACCTCGCCTTCGTCCCAATCCACATTGAACGTAAAAATCGCCCATTTCCAAACGTAAAGAATGAAGCATAACTTCGGTTGATCACGCGCTCAAAGGCATTGATTATCACCAGACTAAGACTAACACTGATCGCTTTAAATTATCCTCCAGGGTGTCAAAGCACCGGAAGTCACTACAACCCGTTGCATATGACACACGGTGCGCCTCAAGATAAAATACGGTAAGCAACTGCTTGTCACACAATGTCGCACAATCGTTATAAGACTGTTTATGTTTCTTTAATGTGACTAATACATATCGCTATGGCGTATCTTATTTGTTGCGTAGAGTAAACAATTAATTTCTGTTTATAGCCACTTTGGAGACTTGGGAAACGTGGTTGCGGATAAAGAGGGAGTCGTCAATGCTGTGCTTGTTGATCCTCGGGTGTCCTTGTTTGGGCCCTTCTCAGTTGTTGGAAGAGCGTTTGTGGTGAGCTGAATTTAGAAACATATTGTAAATAATTTCCGAAGAAGAGACGCATTCAGCTCGCGTCGGCAGTTCGTTCATCAACATCGCTATTAAATTATTTTGTCGCCATTAATGTAATCATCATCATTATCATTATCAGATCTTTTTCTTTAATAAATATTCCGACTGCATAGAAAATTCATTGAGACTGCAGAACGTTCATTTCTCTGAAAGATTTGTTATGTTTCGTTCCCAGATCCATGAAAAGATAGATGACCTCGGTCAAGGGACTGGGCCACTTCAAGTTGAGAGTTTGAAAACCGGTAACGCGGGCGCTCGTTTGGGATGCGGCGTTATTCGACTTGCGCCCGTGAACATAGGCCAACAAGATCCAGATGTCGAAACCTCATGATGACGCCGTCTGCTTGGCTAAGAAAAATCAAAGTTTTGTGGTCACCAGATTTTCGCGGTTAATGAAGATTGATATCAGATTTTTAACGCTCTCTGGAAGTTAAGAGTAAAAATGGAATGAATATGGTTTATTATAGGTTTACAATGAGGTCTCGAGGCACTCAAGAATACCAAAAGAAAATAATGGTCTCATTCTTTTCTCTTGAGAACACATATAGTAATGGTATCAAAGCCTATTTCAATTTAGCTGGAATTAATGTTTGGAATTTTGGTCAACATTCTGTAGAAAAAAGCAATCAGTTGTGCGACGGCATTTTTCCCGGAAAAATTGTCTTGAATGACTGAAGTAAATTGTTGTTTCACACTCGTCAATGCAGCATTTTAAGGAATTCTGCCAGCAAGCCTTGACTTCATCTATTAAGAAAAAAAAACTTAAAAACTAAACGACTGCTAATTTCATTGTAGATTATGATTTGGCTTGTCAACGAGCTCTGTTTTTAGGTTTATTTAGGGATCGGTCCTTATTTATCGCCTGAGGGGGGTGGGATTTGGAGGAGTTTAGTTTTGTTACAATAAAATTACCTGGACTACTGGTTGTGTAATGTTCTATTAACCTCCCCCACCCCCTCCCCTCTCATTATAGTTGATTTGCTGTCAATTCTCTCTAGCCAGTCCCCCCTTTAAACTGTTCAGGCGACGAGTAATCCCCCCTCCATTCCCCCCTGAAAACCATGTAATCCCCTAAATCTCCCTTCCCCCCCCCTCCGTCACGGAAAGAACCTTACTTTACAAGCCTCCTCATCGTTGATCTGTTTTTTTCCTATACCAGTTGATATAAATTGTTGTACTTTTAGAAATAAAAGCAATTTTGAAAATAGTTGATAGTTGATTAATAAAATACTCGACCCAGTTTCCTGGCTTGTATCCAGAAGAATCGAATCCTGTTTTCGATAATTACATACGTCACTTACGTATGAAACCCAGCTGAACAAAAGCGAAATTTCGACGCAGTTTCAGCGCTGCTCCTCAAGAGAAAAGTAAGACTAAAGTTTATTATTTTGCCTTCCAAACCTCTATCTCTAAATTATAAACGGACACTGGACGAAAAAATGGATTTACGTTGGTAGCAAATCTATAGCAAAACGGAAGCAAATACCACATTTGTACATATTTGCCTTAGTTTGCCAAAGAACAAAGATCGATTTTACACCACATTTGTTACCCGTAGCAAAGGTGGTAAATGCCACATTTGTTAAAGATTTCCACTCTTGTACAAAAGTATTGTGCAGCTATGAATTTTCGTTTCAT